CACTATTGGAGATCTTATGCAGTACTTTTTTCATGTGTACAGCATGCTGTGTTCCGTTCACACTAGTAGACATACCAGAATAGCTGCAGACAAAGTACCTCCAATATGTCTGCATGACCATTTAAAAATATTTAAAAATATATAGTTATCATGACGGCACTTATTCATTCAACATGTTTTCTTGCTAACTGCCTACCTCTTTTGCTAACTTTTGTACCTGTCAAGATATAAAACAATGGAAGCTGTGCTAGCCCCTGAGAACAGAACAACAGAACATCCAGAAGCATGCAATGTCGTGATTATGAGCAACTGCAATTCCCAATATGTAGCTCTTCTCCAAAATGTTCATTAAGATAAGTTGTAAAAAGTAAGGGGGGGAATGGGTGTCCAAGGATTTTGGTTGGAAGCTTTAGCCATGAGATATGCACAAATCAGGAGTGTTTAATTAGAAAGAGAACTACATTTCAAAAAAAAAAAAAAAAAGATTGAAAGATGGCTGTTTGAGTCATTTATTTAATTAACTGTATAACAGTTTCCCACTTCAGTGACATTTTATTTTTGTCTTTCCAGTGCCATTTAAGTACTTTTAGTTATACTTTATTTTGGATCAGAGGTGTTTAAAAATAAAATCTAATTTTTGAAATGACAGTGATTGGAGAGCTGGCTATTTTTGAATCAACTATTTAATTAACAAATCTTCCACTTAAATGCCATTCTGCATTTAAAAAGTAGCAAGAAAATAGTTTTAGCTTTAATTTGAAAAATTACAAATAAATTAATAAATGTGGTAATAAAAGTGTACCATTAAAGAGAACATAAAAAGTATGCTGAGCCACAGTAGTTTTAGCCAGATAATATATCACAGCTCACATCAAAATGGCATTCTTGGAGCAACAAACAAGTAGCACAAAGAACAGTTTACACTTGCACATTTTGCAATGCTATTGATTTCCATTAAAAACCCTAGATTTCCTGCAGCCTGAGGTAAAGTGGAAGAACCATTTGATAAACAGACCATTTGCAATGACTTCATGTAGATGCTCCATTTTTTAAAAGTGAATGAAGTGTGGCAAATTCAAACTAAACAGCTAGGGTGGAAATATAAACCATATACCCTGTTACCCCGAATATGTAGCAATAATGTAATGAGCAGTATGATCATTTTTTTAAACACTGTGACAAGTAACAGTGCTAGCAACTTGTTAAAGCACTATAACAAGTGACAAGAACAAATTATTTTCAATTAGTAACATGAATTAATTTATTTGTTGTTCTTTTTCTCCTCCGTGTCCTTAAGGGCATTTTGTACCTCAGATCAACCCAGCTGGTGATCAGAGCCTTTCTTAGGGAACTTCAGAATGCAGAAGTGCTCACATCTGGTATCAGTCATACTTATTGTGGTCTGGATGAGGCACCAAACCCTTGCGAAGTCTTACTTTAGACCAGATATTAATATTGCGCCTGCCCCATGTGCCACCCGCTTTTTTGGGTTAGGGACAACAACTGGCTTCCTCCTGTGCCAAGAGGAAAGGGAACTTCCTGTGCACATTCAGTGCTTCCCATTCCCACCTTTTTGCACACTAGTCTCTGCCGAGTATGAATATACTCTGCTGACTCCGTTTTTATGAAGCCAACTTCCCCCTTCCAAGATCCTTCCCCACCCCCATCTCAGATACAGAGTATTAAGATGCCTCAGTTCTGAAATATTATTGTCTAGACTGGCCTTTCACAACCTGGCACCCTCCAGATGTTGGGGCTGCAGCTTCCATCTGCCCCAGCTGTTTGTGTTAAAGGATAATGGGAATTAGGACAAAACCATCTGGAGGGCACCTGGGAGGGGTGACATAGAGAAAATAAAAGTTATGAGTAGAATACTTACTATGCAGCTGTGGATGTTTTACATAGCTAGGGAGTACAACTTGAACAGAAGCCTTCAATGGTATATCACCACTGTGTTGTTTGTTTTAACTGTTGCTAAGGTGGGACCAGCAACAAAATGTTGGGGTGCAGAATCTTTTTGCTCAGTGTTGTAGCCAACTATATCTTTTTCCAGGATACTCCTCCATTCCATTTTCCCTTCCATCTCACTAGTCTTGTTTGCTTCTCTCTTAGACACTTAGCATTCCATGGCAACAAAATTATGCTCTGGACTCAAATGGCAGGCACTGCCCCTCATTCCTCCTCCAAATATTTTTATTTTTGCAAATCTCACCTGAGCATACCCTCTTGTTTCTCAGTAGCCATGTTTCAGCATCTGAGCTGTAATAACTCATCACAGTTGTTAGTATACATGGTTCATGTTTTATAAAAATCTAAAATGTTTCGGCTAGGCATGGTGAAAGTGTGACTCTACCGATATAGGAGGATAGCAACTGCCCTCCGTCCTTACCATTTGCTGTGGTTGGTAGGCCTGATGTGAGATGCAGCTCAGCAAGACCTGGAGGGCCACATGGTCTACTCCTGCTTGGCATTTCTCATTGCAGTTTAATCCTACATGTATGTTTGCCCTTTACTTTTTGGAAAAGTCATATTACTTTTCTTGAAAATAAAATACTCTAGAGTTGTTTTAGATCACATATGGTTGGAGATAACATACTTGGAGGTGCTCCTATGACTTCAAAGCCTGAACTTGCTAAATGAGAATGGTATCCAGGATGCTGACAGCTGAAAGAAACACTATTGGAATGTAACCCTGTTGTGTGCCTTGTAAGTTGTTCTGAGTAGGTTTTAAACTAAAGCACCAAAAAAAATATCTATAAATAAAAAAACTCTATTTGGTAAGCTCCTTGATAACAAAAAAGGAATGGTATATTCACTAAATGAAACATTTACAACATGTTTATGAGCATATTGCTACCACGCTTGTAACATTAAACACACTCACACAAAAAAAGATACATTCTCATAGTGGTGAGCTGTATGCTTTCCTTTTAGATTCGGTTACAGTACTATCTTACAGATTCTGTCACTTTCCTGGCAAAATCAACATAGCCTTACAGTTTCAAGAAACAAACTGATGGTAGCTGACCATTCAGAACAGAAATTCTTTTGGAAGTTGGCTTTTGGTTGATTTTGGCCTGTGTCTGACATATGTAGTCAAAGGTGTCTTTGAAGTTCATGGGGCTGAACAAGCAAGCTGATTTTAACTTGAATAGCAGCTTGTCTACGTATTTGCCCATGACAGTAGTTGTAAAAACAGCTTTAAAGATGAGTTTTGATTACATATACAGTATAGCAGTTCTTTCTGAATGTGTACACAGTTTTATAGAACTGCACAGTTTTTGTGCTTCTAAAAACTGCAAGTACCAGAACAGATAACAGAGTGCAACAAATAGCCTCTTAAACAAAGAAAGATATTTGCCGACTTGTACACATATGGACAGGTGCGCACACTTTTAAAATGCGGTGAAGAAAAATTTGTGACACAATTATCTGGTAAACCCTCAGGACAAGATACTAATTAAAGTGCATGCATGATGGGATGGACATGTAGAGTCTATCTAGCTGAAAGAGTCTGTTTTTGGCAGTTGCAATCTAACGTGGCCTTTTATTTAGCATCTCTAGGCTTTGGCATTTGTAAATTTGCACCTTCCATGTCTAGTTTGGCAAACTGAAGCTGGGGCCAGAAAGCCTGCAGCAAACACCTAAAGTGGTTGATGGTATCAGGTGGCAACAGACTACTGAAAAAAGCGTCTGCAGCCAGCCCTCTATGCACTAGCTTACCCTATTGTCTTCCATGGTAGTGGAGGAATTGTTCCATTGCCATCCTCAAAGAACGATCCATCTGCCAATCCAATTAACTTTTGAATATGGCAGTGGTTCCTAACCTTGGATAACCCAGCTATTCTTGGACTGCAGTTCCCACTAGCTGTGCTGCCCCAGGGGTTTCTGGGAATTGCAGTCCAAGAACAGCTGAGTTACCCAAGGCCGGAAGCCACTGGTATATGGAATGGAAGGGTAAACTATGCTGTTCTTAATCTCCGGCCACAAAATATCTTGATGAGGTCATGGCCCCACAATGATAGTCAGAGAGTGCACACTGGATTCAATGGGACTTAATAATTACTAATGTAAATTCCAGTTATTTCAATGGGTTTAGGCTGGGCTATGACCATGCAGAGCCAGTTTATACAGCGACCAGAGGCTAATTTTCTCATCACCATTTGCACAAATAAATTTATTCACGTGTACCTCATACTCCAAATAAAGCAGCATGCTCATTCCAAAAGTATGTGCACCTGGGAGTGGGGGAGAGCCACATCACGTACTTACTAAGGGATATTCCTTCCTCCCTCATCCTCACTGGGGATGAAGTCTGGAGCTAAACACAATACAGTAGCAATGTTAAGTCCTGACTTCAATTTTGAAACATGTCATTCACACTAACGAGGCTGCGGAGGCGGGTGGGGAGTCCTGTCCTCCCACCGTGACGCTTCTTGTTTGGCGCGGTTTTTGAAGTGGTAGCCCATTTAGTTCGTGCAAGGAAAGAAACACAAAACGAAAAAAAGGCAAACAAAAAAAATTCATGGCAACTAAAAGATTTAACTGCTATACACAATTGTAAAGTATTTATTATTTATTTATTTACTCGACTTTTACCCCGCCCCTCTAGACAATGTCTACTCCGGGCGGCTTACATGGATAAAAACACAAAAGTAAAACATATATAAAATCATCAAAGATACAATTATAATTAGTTCCGAATAGCACAGTACCAAGATGGCAGGATTCAAGGAGAAAAGAAAAAGAATAAGAATCACTTAATTGACTGGACGTAGGCTTTCGTGGGACGTGTCCACGTCGTCAGCACTCTTAACTCTTACGTCTGACGACATGGACACGTTGCACGAAAGCTTACCTTAAAATATACCAGGCAGCTTTCAAGGAGCCACAACGTCTTTTTTTTCTTTTCTTTCTGGCGCGAACGCTCTCCTCCTCCTTCTCCCCTCCCCCCCCCGCCACCTCCAGGCACGCAAGCCGCGCGGGATCACGTGGCCCCGAGCGAGGGGGGGGCGGAGCCAAGCCCCCGGCCGGCCTTGTGTCGCTCGGAGCCGCCGCCATGCTGGTGCTCTCGTTCCCCGGTGGCCGCTTCCCTCTCCGGCCGGCGGCCTTCTTCCCCTCCCTGCTCACACTCCTTCTCCTCGTCTCGCTGCCGGGCCCAGGCCGGCCGATCTCTTTCCACCTGCCGGGCAAGGCCCGCAAATGCCTGCGGGAGGAGATTCACCGCGACATGCTGGTGACGGGCGAGTACGAGGTGGCCCCTCCGCCGGGCTAGCGGGCCCG